GATAGAAAAGTGGAAAGCTAAGAAATCACCACCTCAGGCCCAATAGAGCAGGAAGAAACATGAGACAAAAAAAGTTAGAGGGTCCTAATGTCCCCTGGTGAGGGGTGATCAGACCCAGTGTAGTTCCTGACAAGGAAGGGGTTAAGAGCATGGACTTTGGAGTCCTTGAATTTAGAAGCAGCTTATGAACTGTATTAGTCAGTTTAGGATTTCTGCTGGAACCAACAATCACTAAATTTCAGTGGTTTAACGCAATAGATTATTTCTGGCTCACATCACTGCCCAGCTGCAGAAACAGTGATGAGGAAGGGGCTCTGCTAAAAGCAGTAATCGAAGATCCTAGATTTTTTCATATTCAGATTCTACCCTCCTCTAAGTCCTCAGCATTCTTTTCATTCAGCCACTGGTTAGGGGGAAAAAAAAAAAAAAGAATTATATACAGGTAGGTTTTATGGGCCAGGATTGGAAATGACTTATGTCCCTTTCCACCACTTTCTCTTGGTCAAAATTGAGTCATATGGCTGCATCGAAGTATAAGGGAGCATGGACATGGCATCCAGCTGTGCACCCAGGAGGAAAAGGTTCATGCTTGATAAACAACTAGCCAAACTTTGCCATCAAAACTATGTGTCCAGGGCGAGTCACTTAACATCTGAGAGGCTCAGCTTTCACATCTGTAAAATGGGAATAATCACCTCATAGGACTGTTCTGAGGATTAAGGGAGATTATGCGTGTCATCCACTCAGCCTGGCATATGTAGATGAATAAATAATCACTGTAGTGAATATTTCTACATAATCATAGTGCGTACTCTTTGGTCGTTGACCCTATGAAAGCAATTGTGGTTTTCTCTGTCTTTCTATGCCCACTCCAGGTCTACACAGACAGAGGAAAGCTCAGTCTGTTTGTTACTGACCTGGATTATTCTAGCCCCAAAGTAGGTGTATTTTCTTGAACTAAATCATTTGGGTTGGCTGATTCCACGGATCAAATTCATGAGCTTATTTCCAAATCTCACTATGCCTGCCTGGTCCACGTAGACCCAGCCTCCACCTCTGCCAGACATCTCCACTCCTAGTATATGCAGGCTGCAAAATGATTCTTGTTCATTCTTTCATGTTATTCCCACACTTCAGAAGTCTGGAGGGAAGCTGAATGTTTGCCGTTCTGAGATCATTTGAAGCCGGGCATGCAAAGAGTTCCGAGTCACTTTCAAGTCTGCCCGTAGGAAATCTTTCTTGGCAACCAGACAACTAGAATTAGTTATTAAAGGCATGTCAAATGAATAAAGACACCTCTGTGAGGAAAACCGCAAGAGCAGTTACTTTTTCTAATATGAATAGGAGGCTAATATCAAATCACCTTTAATTTTTCCACTCTTTCTATGCTGTTTGGATGGTAGGTCAAGTCTAATAACACAGATACAATGGAAAACCATTTATGTTTTCATCTATCTCAATACATATGCCCATTGCAGATGTGTGTCTTAAAAACTGGGGTCTGGAATTTAAACAAGTACACTGACAAAGCTGTTTCCTCCAGAATATTCTCCCAGATGTCAGGCCCATGTTGCCCTCACAGGCTGTAAGAAGTCAACCTATGAAACAGAAAAAAGCATGGTCCTGTCTACAAACCATGCATCCCACAGAGCTCAGGCCACAGCATTTGCCAAAAGGCAAGAATGCCTTGAAGACTCAGCCATGAGAAGGACCAGGGAAGAAAGTGGAGTAAAGGCATTTTGAAAACATGGGCCTGCTTTTCAGATATGAGTCACCCAAGGTCCAGTGAATTCTCTTTTCCTTGTGGCCTAGATTTAGAGTTATTAAGGATAGATTTGTGGACAGGGGAGCTGACGGCCAACAAGGAGTACCATGTCATGGTTAGGAGGCTCCAGTTTAGAGTCCGGTACACTGTCTGGGTTCAAACCCCAGTGCTGCTACGTTTGGTTATAATGGGCAAATTGTTCCATTTCTCTGGACTTCAGTTTCCTCATCTATAGAATGGGGACAATAATACCTATCTCACAATAATACCTATTAAATAATACCCATTTAATACTCACATGGTTGTTGTGAGTATTAAATGAGCTAATTCTTACAAAGTACTTAGAAAAATGTTTGGCAAGGAGTAAACTCTCAATAAATGTTGACTATTACTGCTACTGTTATTGACAATATTATTATTATCCAGTGGGCAAAGGAATTCATAAGTAAGTGTGTGTGGGGGGGTGGAGGGGAGGGTGTCATGTAAGCTTGAGCAATATGGACTTTATATGGAAAGAAATCTGTTTGGTTGAGAAAAACCAAACTGGCCCTTTAAGGTGCAGCCACCTTGAAAGCTCTTCCGTTAGGTAGACATACATGATTTGAACCTTCATGGTCAAATGGTGAAGCTGTCCCCATACAGATATCCTGAGTAGACAAGTCCATCCTCTGGATGCAGAAGATTTCATCCAGGATCGAAAATACAGAAATCATTTCACTAAGTTCACTCCAGCCTTCTAGAAATTAACCCCCCTCAGATGGGTCCTGTGGGCTGAGGCTTCATGCATTTTGTGTATCTAAGAGCTTTGAGTGGCTTTTTCTTAAATTAACTTTTAAGGGACAGACAGTCATTTTGCAGCATTTGCCCCTGGATCTAGGTGCAAGCCTCCAATGTGATCTCCCTGCCCCTTGTCCTCACCTCTAGGTTAACGCCCCCTGGTCCCTCGCAGCCTGACACCAGCACTTGGCTCTCCAGCTTCCTTTCCATTGACACTGCGGGTGGATCTGTGTTACCTCTTTGTTTCAAAAAAAGAGTCTAAGGTGGCTAATTTGTCTTTGTAAAACAAAATGAAGATGGAAATGGAAAACTTCAGTTGGATACTGAGCTATGCCATTTGTTCAACTGTTAGCCTTTGGGAATCAAGGCAAACAGTCGATTGACTTGAGTTTCAACTAATTGTGGTGCTCCAGTAACCCAGCCTAAGGTCTTCGATGAAGACTTTGACATGTGTGTGCATGTGCGCAAGTGTGTATATTTGCATGTAGAGAGAGTGTGTGTAAGCACTGCTGGTAAAGCAGAAAATAAAATAGCAGAAGTGTCCTGAGTGCCTGTTCTATGCCAGGAGCTTTATTTCACTCATTCCTTGTAACAAACCGTGGAGGCAAGTATTAGTATTATTACATATGAGGAAACTGAGGTTAGGAAGGGCAAGATAGTTCGCCCAAGCCCGAGTACCAAGTAAGAGAAAGAACTGACCCAGACCAGTCTCTGACTCTGTAGGCTGGGCTCTTTTCACTTCGGCAAGGGGACGGGGAGGAAAGAGAGGCAGAAGCAAGTGGGGGTGTCAGTGGTTGTAGGAACTGAAAAAGAGAAGAACCTAGGGATAGGGTCTAAAAATCCTGGAAATTTACAGAATGAAGTCTGAGCGTTGGTACTAACTCTGCCCCTGGGACCCCTAATTCTCAGCCACCTTGAAGTCTGTAAGTCTGCCCTCTCCCATCCCCACCCTGCTTTTTTTTCTTCCTCTTCTTGACTGATAGGGGCCCGACCTGCCAAGGTGATTGTCCTGCTGCTGGAATCTGGATCTCCCACATCTGGAACTGGGCTCCAGCAGAGTTGGTAGAGAGGTCAAGACTCTGCTTAGGGGCCGCTGCCATGGCAGGGGGCATGTCCCTCGGCCTCTATTCTGAGCTGGGTCACCTGTGAGAGGGTGCCCGGGTCACGGGGTGGAGCAGGGCTGGAGGGGCTGCTCTGTCTGGGGTTAAATGCTCCCAGCAGTTCAGCCACAGGCACCCTGCACTCTTCTGCCTCATTTCCTCGGCAGTTGGTTCTCCTTCAGCAGTCACCGGGGCTCAGCGGGAGTCATCCAGATGTAGCTGTGACAATGTGGCTCTCGTCTTCCTCTGAGGGGATCCTGTGTGAGGGAAGCCCCCTTTGTTTCTCTCCGGCCCACATCCATCTTCCCAGGGCAGCACACTGTCATCCAGGAGAGGAGGCCTGTGAGCTTCCCCCTGCCCTCCACGTCCCTGGCCTGGGAACCTCTGTGCAACCTCCCGCCCCTGCACCGCCCCAGCACTCCCAAGCAAAGAGCCAAGCCAGGCCAAGCCTGTGCATATAGGGCCTCAATTTCAGATCAGATTCACAAATTTAATTTCCTATTCCTTAATTTAATTCTGCATTTTAGTTTTGTTTTTATTATTTACATGGGTTCCCTTTAATGATTCCAAATTGCTGCTGCCCTCTAGCAGTATTTTGTCTTAGGTTAACTTCTTGAAAACCGATCAGCGTTGGAGTTTTTTCCACACTGAGTTTAGTTATTTTCTGAAACGAAGCACAATTAAATTAGAATAATGAACATGCTCTTTAGAGGATTAATTCATAATGAGCAGGCCATGTGCTACAGCTCACAGAAGAAAGGGCACGAGGACCGAAAGCTGTTTTTTCTGCCTAAATACGAAAAGTACATTCTGCCGAGCAGAACAAATCAGCTAATGACATCCAGAGCGCTGGCCAGCCCCAGAGCGGCACAGAGCTGGCATCTCGAGTTAGCGCAGTCCCCGCCGATGCTGCTGCCTGAGAAGGCTGGCACCAGGGATCCTTCTGGATGCCCCCTCCTCCGCACAGCTGACAGGGACTACTATAAGTCTTCTAAATTCTGTCCCAGGAAGCCCTGGACGCCACAGCCTGTTACTTCACAAGCTTCACCCTCGGAGCTTCCCAGAGCCCAGTCATTCATTCATTCTTTTATTCGAGGAATGCTTTTCTGAGCTGCCGTTACGGACCAGGCATCATCCATGGATACACCATTGGATACATTAGCGAGAAAAACCCAAACAACCCTGGCCCTTCTGGAGGTTACATCCTAGCATGCAGAGACAGGCAATAAACAGTAGAAATAATAAGAAAATTATATAATATGTTAGAAGGTGATGAGTGCTAAGGAGTAAGCGGGGTTGAGAGCCATGCCGTGTGAGTGTGGTTTGCAATTTTCAATATGATGGGTCAGGATAGGCTCATGGAGAAGGTGTCAATTGAGCAAAGACCTGAGGAGATGAGAAAGTGAGCCACTTTCAAGAGTGTCCCAGGGGTCAAGAACATTCCAGAAGAAACAATTGGAAATGACACAGGCAAAAGCCCTAATGTAGGAGTGTGGCTGGTGAGTTGAGGAAGGGCAAGGCCAATTGGGCCAGAAAGGAGGGAGGTGAGTGGGACCAGATCCTCCAGCCCTTGGCTTCTGCTCTGAGTGAATGGGAAATCCTGGCAGGGACTTGACTAGAGAGATAGGACATGATCTGACTTACATAGGAGTGTCTCTGGCTGCTGGCTGGGAATAGACTTTCTGGGGTGAAGTGGAGTGGGGTGGGTGGAAACTGGAAGACCCATCAGAAGGGTAACAGGCCTCTAAAACTCCAGCCCCAGGCTTCCCCAGACTGTATTCTCTGGAAGCCCAAGTGCTAATCCCAGGCCTCACAGCCTGGAGGCTCACAGTTCCTATAGTCTCTGCCTTCCAGATGGCCCAGAAAAGCAGTTTTCAAGCAGCCATAAAGCATGTCTTGAACGTTATTCCTTGGTTTAGGAGACCCTTCCCACCCCTACCACTGACCCATGGACTAGAAGGCCAAAGCCTGAAATGGAGAGAGCCTTCAGGCAGGGGACAGCTCTGCACTGTTCCTTTGGTTGTTTCAGGCTCCTCTGAGAGCACACCCTCCCAGTCAGGTAACTGACAAAGTGACATCGGAAGGCCTCTGCTATGCGGCTGCCACCGAAACCGGGGACAGATCAAAGCCGAAGAGGACCAACATCTGTGGCAACCAAAGCAAGGAAGAGGTACAAACAAACCGAATGAATAAATAAGCAGATGAATGATTGATGGGTGGGGGGGATGAATGATTAATGAATAAATGAATGATTGATGAATAAACGAGTGTATGGCCTGGAGCCAGCTCCTCCTCTCTGCTCTTTGAGTGTATTCTCTCCTGGGAACCCAAGAATAAAGATCCTCCCACGGTCTTCACCTCTAGAATTTCTTGCTGAAGTTGGGATCACACTACTTCTGACCCCAGATGGGGAGGAGCCTCTGGCTTAGGAGCAGAAGTCTGGGGCAGTAGGGGTGGGCTGGGGAAGGAGGGCCCAGCAACTGGGCCTGGGATAGAAAGTATCTGGGGCAGCCTGTAGGCTCTGATAGAGGAGAGCTCCGAGGGTCTCCAAGGAGGGTAAGGTGTGTGGGGGCGGGGAAGGGGGCGTTTTACAATATAGGTTTTATTATTATTCAAGTTTGGTGAGGCCAGCAGATCAGGAGACAACCACCATTGAAAAGATAGTTTGTTATACTTATAAATCCCAGGAGAAGGGACCAGGCCACACCATGGGGGTGGGTACAAAGAGAAGCACCAGGGTTGGTCAATAGGTGGAGGAGTAAGGAAAAAACACAGGCAAGAGCTTTTATTTTGGTTTCCACAGGAGGGACCAGTGAGGCAGGGTAAGCGGAGTTAGGGTTAGCTAATGGAAGACGTGTTAGTTGTCTCTGGGGCACAGAGGCTGTCCCTAATTGTCTGGTCCCTGTGCCCATGGGAATTATGGTAGTGGGTAGAGGTCTAGGTGTAAGAGCTCTGAGAAAGGAAGCGGTTTGGGATATGGACTCTGGATTGGTTGATTTTCATATGAAAAGCTTATTATTGGCAGTAAGTCCTTTACTCACTCCAGGAACTGGCTAACCCTGGGAGGGATAGACCCTCCAGTGTCAGCAAGGCCCCAGATGTCAAAGCATCAAAATACAGAAAATAAAAAGACATGCTTAATACAGAGGGAAAGGGGAGAGATTTGGTTTTCCCTTTCCTAATCCCACACTAGGCATTCTGCAGATGCTGGGCCTTGGATTTGTCTCATTCTGGGACCAGTTATGATAGAGAAGTTCATCTCAACTGAGTGTGTGTGGCTGTATTATTCCAACAGGCAGGAAGACTGGTGACTAAAATTTCCAGACACTTTGCTCCATGAGGCAGGCCAGTGGTGGCTCCCGCTGAGACCCAGACAACCCCTCCTGGGTCCTGGCATCACCCAGATACTTGATGTGCCCCTACTTCCAGAAGTTCTTCTCTTCCAATGTGCCCAGATCCTGGTGCCTTCTAGGGGAGAAGTGCCCTATTGGGGGAGGGTTAGAGGAAGCAGTGTCTGGAGACCTTGGGTCTCACGGTCCCACTCAGTTTTGGAGGAGGGTCTTGTCAAGGGATTCCCATGGAATCTAGACTGTGAGTTTAGGGTCAAAAGACCACTTAGAAGAGTATGTGTGTATGTCCACTTTATTTTCTGAACTTTTAATAGATAATTATAAGAAAAATGGCCCCCTTAGCGAAGGGCTAGATGTTGGGCTAAGAGCTTTGCATTTTTTCTGTCATTTAATTCTTTCATCAACCTCAGGATGTAGGTATTTTTATCCTGATTTTACAGATGAAACTGAGGCAGAGAGAGGCTAAGTAACTTACTGCTAAGCGATTGACCCAGAATTGTACCCAGGTGGGTTATGGACATTTAGAGTTGAAAACTGAGGCAGTTCTTTCCTAAGCACCCTGCTGATCTTTCACTTCTTTGTCCCTGTGGTTCTTAACCCTTTGGGGGGCCACAGAGCCCTCTAAGCATGTGATGAGTATAGAGCCTCTTTCTAGAAAATGTACATTTTCCATTTTGCACATTTACCAGGCAATTTCAGGAGTCCACAGGCCCTCCCGATGCTCACCAACCCTGCTTTTGGCATTGGCTTTTTTTCCCTTTTTTCTTTCTCATAACCTAAGGCCCCCAAAATCACCTCAGTGGGGAATGGAATCAGACAAGACAGGTTAATCAATGAAAGCTCACTGCATGCTCCTTCCATAATTGGATTCCTGCCTTTTCATCCTAACAGCCAGCACTTAGCGTAATTGCATTCCAATAAGGCTCCCAGGTCTGGGGCCTCTGGGGCCTGCGCTGGAACCTGTTGACATGCCATCTGCTTCCAGAGGGGTTCTGGAGACCAAGACAGCCTTTTAAAATTCTTCTCTGTTGTCTTTGCTGCAAGAGAGACAAAGGACTCTGTAACAGACCTTGTCCAGAAATCCCACTTTCTTGACCCGCTCACATTAGCCCTGGAGCCAAGAAGGCTCCCTCAGGCCCAGGCTGTCTTTCAGAAGTCAAAACAGCAGCACCTATTATTCCAAGTGGGTGACCTTTGGAGACACCTGGCTTCGGAGAGGGGTGGCTGCCACTGTCAGGCCGCGCAGAACCGAAGGGCTCGGGAGCTCCCTCAGGGGCTGGGTGTTGTGCGGCCTCCAACACCCCCAGCTTCTCTCATTTACTCAAGATTTATGGAAACCTCCCTAAAGGGCTTCTTCTCCTCTTCACAAAGAAAACCCACAATACCAGGAAGTAGGGAATCCCCCAAGAAACGGGGATGTTTCCTGAATCCGGAGAGTCTTATTTCCACAAACACAACTTCCTCTTAAAAAAAAGTCCAAGCGTTCTTCAGGCATAGTGAAGTCCATACAATTAACAGAGAAAACGCAGGGTTCGGAGTGATTTAAATTTCAGTTTCCCAAATAGAAAAGGCTCCTCTGTGGACCCCCACCAAAGGAATGAGGTATAAAATGGAGAGGTCTGGTGTTTGTTATATGACTTACAGATGCCCTTTCCTCCCACCCCCCTATCCCCGCTTGATGCTTCTTTCCTGGGAAGAAAATTCTCTGGGGCTCTTCTTCCTCTGGGTTTGAGCCCCTAGAAGTCCCCCACAAGCCCAGCACTCTTGAGCTACAAGCTCAGGGCTGAGAGCTGATTCCCTCGTCCCTGCTGAGATCTTCCTGCTCTCCCTCAGAGGAAATGGATTGTTTTGAGATGGAAACGTGTTGCTGCAGAGGGGAGGGGAGATGAGTTAAGTGTTACTGGCTTACTGGATGGTTACTCCCCACTCCAACATTATACTCCTTGTGGCTGATCGCTAAGCAGAGAGTATCGACTTTTCAGTAAGGCAGGCCAATGTTGGAATCCCGGCTCAGCCAAGCACGAGCTGTGTGACATTGGGCAAGTCACTTCACCACTTTGCATCCCAGTTTCCTCCAAGGGATGGCGGGAAGAGAATAAGAATTACAAGGTTGGAATTGAAGAGATAACCTATACATGGTGCCCAGCCTTTGATACTTGATTTCCTTTCTGCTTTTTTTTACTTGATGGCACAAACTTCTAAAGCATTTTGCAGATATTAGAAGGCACTGCTGGGTTGTTCTTCATCAGTGCTCTGGGGCCAGCCCTTCTCCCCAGCCTTGATCCCGCCCCACTCGATTCTTTTTTCCTCCTAATCACTCCCCTACCTATGATCCCAGAGAACTTGGTTCTCACTAACAGGCTCAGCATCCCTCTGTGGTTCACAGCAGTGGCCAGTGCAGCCTTACAAATGGGGACACCCGTGGACAGGCCAATTTGTCCATCTCTGCCTCTTCTGGTTTAACACTGTGGTCTGTATGTACATATCTATTAGGGCTGCCACGTGTTTTCCATGGGTGGTAAGATTGCAGACTTTTCATTGTATGGAGTGGATCCTAAATGGGTGTCAACCTCCTGGGGACAACCAGAAGCCTGTAGGGCTGTATGAGGCACACACCCTCCTCTTCAAGGCTGGGCGCATTGCCATTACTTTACTGTAAGCATCGCCTTTGTCAGTTTTACCACCATCATGCTCACCCTTGCCATCAGCATCCAGCACCCCAATCAGAACGATCTGAGCCTCAAGGAAATAATACCCTATGACACAGCACAACCAGACCCTCAAAGAGGATCAATCCCAGACCCAGGTCCACCATTTTTGGGGATGTTTTGCATGCTTACAGGTTAAGTGTTTTAAATGGAATCTTGAAGTTCCCAAGTCAATTGGGGAGGAGTAGGGGAGGAGGAGAAAGGGGGTCCAGTGTAGAGTAAGGGTCAAAATGGGCCAGAGGAGATTAGAGATTTAATTAAACTGCCCGTTTGGGTAAAGGTTTTAGGGCAAAGCTGATTTGCATTATAATGGCAGTTTATCTGAATTTCATTCTGCTGAAGGAAGCTCTATTACACTTAGTTATTGTGGCCTAAGCTTTGCTTCTCCTTAATGCTCCTCCCAGGGTAAGCAGACTGCTTTCCTCTCAGCTTCAGCCACGCTGGCCGCTGCCAGGAGCAAGACCCCCTAGTCTTCTGTCCCAGTACGTACTCTGTCCAGGTACCAGGCAATACCTGGGTAGGTGAACGGCCTTTGGGATTACTCAGCAAAGTCAGGTCTGGTTTGGGGGTGACCCCTGAAGGTCCCCATAGAGCTCCACAGCCTGCCAGGGAAGCAGAGAATGGCTCTGGGAGTAGAATGCTGGGACTGGGCCTGGGTCTCTGCTCCAACCACCCTCAGGCACCAAATAGCACTGACATTCACCTGGTAGCCTCCTGCTGTGAACAGTGGCCCTGGACAGGCAGAGGTGTGGTGGCTAAGGGTGCTGGGGTGGGGGTTCTGGACCAGAGAGAGTCTCTCTGGCTGACTTGTCAGGGAGGCCTGAAGGTGCAGGGGCTGGCACCTCAGTGTTTGGTGATAGTAATAACTGTTTTCCAGGTAGAAAGTCAGCATTCAATGACCCATCAGGACGAAGGGAGAGGAAAATAAAAAGTTGATGGGGAAAGTCAGCGGGCTCTGATACAGATAGCAGGAAGCCCCAAGGAGAAGGGCCTCAGCGTTTAGAGGAACGGGCAGGCTATGGAAGGGTTAAAGGGTCTGGGAACTCCTGTTTCCAATCACTTGTCAGCCAGCTTTGCTCTCATCCTTATCAGCAGGGCTAGGGCCGAGGGTGGGGGCTCTGAGAGCTTTAGTTTCCAAGCTCTTCCCAGACTCCAAGCTCTCAGCATTCTCATTACCTTCTAAGGGCTCCCTGGCTCAGTGTGGGGGGAGGGGGTGGGTAGGCGCTGGGAACCCAAACACATTTAATGGAGTAGAGTGTGAGTTACTAAATACAGCCCTGGGGTGGTGGGGGGCTGTAGAATCTCAGCCGTAAACCTTCAGAGTCAAAGTTCCCCTCCTTCTTTTTCTCCCTCAACTAAAAGCCAGATTAGACAGCCTGTGTCTCAGCTCCTATTTAACTCACCATTGGCTAAAACCTTTCGATGTTTTTCTTTTTCACAGTTATCGCTGAGTCAGAAATCTCCATTGTGTATTTGTGCAGTGACTTTTGGAACTCAAGCAAAGGAGCTTTCATTTCGGGTGAAATTCATCTTTGTAGATTTGACCAAGGCTAGCCTTTGGAGAGGTATGCAATTTTCATTTCTGCCAATCCACCTATTTATTTACTAACTGTCCCCATTTCAGCCACTGAGAAATTTGATAAATCTGCCTTTTCTATATCTTCATTCAGGTTATTGATTTAAAAGATGTTGCCTGCGAGTGGGCTGAGGGCAGAGCCGTTGGTGGCACCATCATAGTCTTCTAGAACTTGACATCAACCTGTGGTCACTATCCTTTGGGTGTGGTTATTGAACTAACTGCTCATCTCCTGTATTGTGCTTCTCTAATGTATAATCCACCAGTGTATCCAGAAGGCTACCACAAGAAAGGATACATGCCTTTCTGAAATCCAATGTACTTGGTCCCCTGAATTTCCTTGATTTGCTATTCTAGTAACCCTGCTAAAGAAAGAAGTAAGGTTCATGTGATATTTTGCAGTAGACAAGAGCTATGCTATAAATGCAGATGTAAACATCATAAGTACCATTTTGTAAACATTGCCTGCCAGGAAGAACTGGTATGTGTTTCAGATATGCCAGGGAACTGGGTCTGTAAAAGAGAAGCGAGCGAGAGAAAAAATGGGGACCTAAAGGTGATTTGAGCTAATCAAAAGCAGGGGCTGGGGGAACACTTTATGGAAAAGGCACCAGTTCCAGTGATTTTGGGGGTCCTGTGACTGCAAGAGTAAGTCTTGGGCTAGAACTTTTGCCCTGGAGAAGCAGCCATGAGGCTTTGATTCTTCTAGAGCTAGAAACTCCAGGCAGGTTCTGACCCCTCCAAGCTGTTTGAGCCCCCATGCCTGTTCCCTCTGGAATGCCTCTTTCTGCTGCCCTCCTGGTGTATATCTCCCCATCTTTTATTTTCATTACAAGTCTTCCATCTTCTAACAAGTCTTGCTTGCTTCCTCCTTACCTCTAATTCCAGACTTTCCAGGTAAAACTCAATGCTCCTCCCACTGTGACCTTCTGTTCTCTGTATAGATGTCTACATTTGCACTAAAAACACTTTATTGTACAGAGGTATTGAGGGATTTTCCACTCAAATGGCTAACCTTGTAATCAGCTCTTTGTTCTGTTTCTGTAGAGAGCTTGTGCGTAGGCCGAAGGGCAGAGTGATCTCCAGATCAACTGAAGGCTCACCCTCCCCTTTGATTGTTCTGTCTAGATAACAGATGTGTTGCCTCAGTTCCTGTCTGAAATCTCATGCTCTGTAACTGCTCTTAGCCCATAGCAACTCCTGTGGTCTGTAACTACCTGAGGATAAATCAACCAATCAGCACATGCCAACTGTAACAGCAGGATAAGCCCTATAAAAGCAAAATTGCCCCTGAGCTCTGGGCCCAGATCTTCAGAGCTCTAGCTCTTCTGGTTTCTCTAACTCTCTGAGTGGTGCTTGGTTCCTCGCTGGTCTGAATTCCCAATATTTCTGTAACAGTATGAGCATAGGCTTTGAGTTCAGTAGACTTAAATTTCGGCCCTGACTTTGCTTCTTATTTTAATCTCTCTAAATCCCAATTTCTTCATCTATAACATCGGGACAAGAATTAATACTCAATAGGACTATCATGAGAAGTCAACAGGTAATGAATGCAACGCACTGGATTAATTATTTATTGCTGCAGAACAAATAACCTCAAGTTTAGTGGCTCAAACCAACAATAAACACTATCTCACCCTGCACCTGTGGGTCAGGAATTTGGAACAGCTTACCCGAGTGGTTCTGACTTGAGGTTTCTCATGAGGTTGCAGTAATCTAAAGGCTTGTCTGAAACTGGAGGCTCTGCTTCCAAAATGGCTGAGACACATGGCTGTTGGGAGGTTTCAGTTTCTCATTGGTTATTGGTGTGAGGCCTCAGTTTTTCTTTATGTGGACTTCCCTATAGAGCTTCTTGAATGTCTTCACTGCATGGCAGCTGATTCTCCTTAGGGTAATTGATCTAAGAGAGAACAAGGTGGAAGCGGCAATATCATTTATGGCTTAGCCTTGGAAGTCACATATGTGTTGGTTTTTTTTCCCCCCACAAATCCTATTAGTTATACATGTCAGCTCTACTCATTGATCAGGGGCCTACACAAGCACAGGAATAGCAGGAGGTGAGGATCATTTTGGGGCCATTAAGGAGGCCAGCTATCACAAGTGCTTAGCCCAATGTTTATCAAAAGCATATCATATCATAAAGTGAAAACAACCTAAGTGTCTGCTGACAGGTGAATGGATTTTTAAAAATGTGGCATATATACACAATGGAATATTATTCGACCTTCAAAAAGAAGGAAATCCTGCCATTTGCAAAAACATGGGTTAACCTGGAGGACATTACACTAAATGAAATAGGCCTAACATAGAAAGACAAATATCACATGATCTCACTTATATGTGAAATCTAAAAAAGAAATAAAAGCCAAATTCATAGTAACAGAGAGTAGAATGGTGGTCACCAGAGGGTGAGGGTAGAGAAAATGGGAGCTATTTATCAAAGGGTACAAGCTTTCAGTTATAAGATGAATAAATTCTGGAGACCTAACATACAGCATAGTGACTATAGTTAAAGCGTTATATACTTGAAATTTGCTAAGAGATTAAATCTCAAATGTTCTCACTATACATACACAAAAATGGTAACTATGGGAAGTGATGATGGATATGTTAACTAGTTTGATTATGGCAATCATTTCATAATGTATACATATTTCAAAACACATTGTATACTTTATATGCAATTTTTATTTGTCAAAAATAAATAAATATAAATATATTTTTTAAATAGCTGCTATTATTATTCATTCAAACATCTGTTTTCTTTACTAGAAAATAAACCCCTTGAGAGTAGTGATCATGTCTTGGCTACTTGTATCCCAAACGTCTAGAGAAGTGTCAAGCATACTGGTAGGTCTGTTCTAACTGCTGATGGAGAATACTTGGACAAAGACTTGGAGAGGGTTAGTCTAGCGACAGCCTTAGAGTGAATGGAGAGAAAGTTCGCACTCAGATATCAGGTAGGATTCTGTAATTCCGCCATGTATCCGGAATTACCAACCTGTATAGGATCAAGACCTGACGGTTCCTCACATTTTGATGCTTGAATACCAAAGACGTCTGATACCAAAACGGCAGGCAGGGAAAGCAAAGTTCTTATGATTCTCCTTGGAAATGATGCCCTGAGCAAGAATTTGGTGTGGAGAAATGGTCCCAACCTTATGCTTTAAAGAGCGAACCCACCGTTGTTTAATTCCCTGGGCCAAGGCAGACATGGGAATCTCTTGATATTTTTTGTCATACTCAAATTTCTATCTTGATGACTCCTGTGTCTTTCTACGAGGCAAAACGATCTCCCTTTCTAGGAGACTCCGATGCACAATTTCTTAGAGTTAATTAAAAGCTGCACAGAGAGTTTCGTGTCAGAGACCTGCCTGGCTACTTCTGCTCTCTGAGGAAAGGATCAGAGCCTGTGAGGTAATTGATACTCTGGGCGATATCGAGTTTCCAGACATCCAGCTCAAATTGTAAGCCTTACCGCACCCTCTGGGCTTGAAAGTTCACTGATTGTCCTTTTCCCACAGACGGAGCCCTATGTCCCTGCTGGCGCTCCGCTTGTTTGCCGCTTCTGTAGGGCTGCACCTCCAGGAGTCTCGAGACAAAGACCGATGCAGGAGCAGGTGTCCTCTCAGAGATTTCCCATGTAGATCACATTCCCACTTGCCTGAGGTCCCATTTCTCCCCAGTCCCCTGAAATCTTAAACAAGTGGCTTTAATTGGCTCTTTCTCCCCTTCTTACGATTAGGGTGATTGTGACAAGAATAGGGACACTCTTCTTCTATCAGGGTGCAAAGGGTTTGGTTGCACTGATCAATATTTTGTGCCCAGATAATAAAAAACACCAAGACATAAAAATTATAGATGGGACACAGCATGGAGACAGATGATATCTGAATTTCATCTAAACCAAACGAGGTCACCATATGGGATTCTGAAAGGAAATTAAAAATGCTTATTGATTGAAATAAAAATTTCTATAATTGAGCCTGATATTATATATCAGGGACCATCGTAATCCCAGGAAACTGGACTCTGGAATGACCTCCATCTTGAATGAACTTCCTTTACAGTATTTATTTCACTTTCCCTTAGGGTTTATCCAGAAAGAACATTTATGGTAGAGACAGCATTGAGAAATATGGACAGTGAGAAAGCTGGAGACTTGTGCATTTGAGCAATTCTTTGTGTGTAGGATCAGGCGATATGACTCTACTGGTTTTCAAATTCCTCTTCTGCATTGCTGTGGAAAGAATTGTGTCATTCCTGGTTAAAAATCCAGTCAAAGTATTCCCTTGGAGATAAAAACACAGAATAAGTGTTTTACGAAATACTGGGGGAGTCAAAAGAATGTTAATGAGGTAGTCAATAAAGTTATACAAAGAAGTTGAAAAGAAAACAAATGCTTAAAACTAGCTGAAATGTTTAAAAAGATGCTGAGAGAAAATATTGAGCTTTCGGAGTGGAACCATGGAGAAGGGCAGAAAGAATTCAATAAGGGGGATAACATGGAAACCAAATTAAAGAATCACAACTTTTATCCAATGATTACTAGCAAAACAACAACAACAACAGTTATCATTTCCTTTAAAAAACAAATTGTGATTCTAGGAAAAGGGACACAAAAAATCAGCAAGTCTTGGGAAGACTATCATGTTGGTTAAGCTGTGAGGTTTAAGGATAATATCTCTTATTTCCTCTGTGGTTAAGAATACTGTTCTTTGAATCACTTCTTTCAGTTGACAATCATTTATTGAGCATATACTACATGGCATTGCTCGCAATAGGCATGCAGTAAACATGCTTTAAAAATCCTTACAGCTCTATGAGTATGTATAATTATTAGCCTTATTTTAAAGATGAGGAAATTGAGGTCCAAAGAGGTTAAGCACTTGCTGAGTGCCACAGTTAAATGGTGGGGAAAGAATTCGAACCTAAGAAGTCTTGTAAACTACTACATAATGCTGCTCTTGAGTACATGAGTAACCAAAATGCAAGACAGAAAGTGAAAAGCACTCCATGGGTGATCTAAACAAATGGCAGTCACAGTTCTAACCTCTGGCAAGGGAAGGGAATGGTGGGAAGGGCTCCCAGGAGACGAGCATTTGAGTCGAGTCTTAAAATGTGGGCAAGATTTCCTAAGCGGGCAGAGGGGAAAGCATCTTCAAGATGGAGTGGGTGACATGAGCTAGCACTCAGAAATGGAGAAGTGGAGGTGCATTTGCAGAATTTTATAAATCCAGTTTGTTGGGGAGCAGTTCTCCATAGTGGCAGCAGATTAGCCGGCGTGGGTTGGAAGCAGCCACAAGCAGGGCTTCTTACGCAGTCATGTGCACATGGTGACCTGGGGTCTTGTTAAATGCAGCTTCTTGCTCCAGTCTCTGTGGTGCCGCCTTCCAGGGATCCCAGAGCGGCTGGTCTTGAATCATATTGGGCACTTGGGCTTTTGAAGGCCTTGCTTTCCTGGCTTGTGGTGTGGACTATTTTGGGTATGCCAGGGACTGCACAAATGGATTGTAAGCAGGGAAATTAGGCTTTAAAAAGACATTTGGTGGTCGTATAGAATGCTCTGGAGGGAGTTTGGACTTTGGTTCCTTTAGTTCCTAACTTATAGCCCTCAAAGCTCAGAATACTGATCCTTTCTGGGTTTAGGCAGGAAAACTGACCACCCTAGCTACTTTAACAGGGCTAATTTTGCCCTTGACTTCTGATTGTCCCTTATTCACCAAAGCTCTCTAGAAACTATTCCTCCCCTTCTTCCAGGACTGGCCGGAAGCAAAACTTGTCCTATTCTCTAGGGGTTTAAAAAGAAGACTGAAATGTTGGCTTGATCCTGAGCCATCCTTATGGGCCTGTCTTAGTAAGGACTGGGCTCTGTCACCCAGCACGTTCTAGATCACTTTTCCACACTGGCAGATCTGCTCAGGGAATGAAAAATGCTGCTAATATCAGCCTGAAAAAAGTCATCAGGAAATTAAATCTGTGGCTTTAAAAAAATCCCACACTGCTTTCTGGCACTGCTCAGTCTTCCAACAGGGATCTCTCTCTGCCTGGGGGCCTCCTTCCGGCCTCCTCCCCTCCCTATCTCGTCCTCCCACCCTCTGTCCCCTTTCCTAGACTCCCCTCCTCCCTTTCCTTCTTCCTTTCTCATCCCACAGGACTTCTAGCTTTCCTTCTTTCTTCTCACTGGGCTCCTCCACTGTGGCTTCGGGCTTCCCTTCCTGCCTCCAGGCCTCCAACTTTTCCTCAACTCCACGGAAGCATCTGTCTGTCTCCTTTTCACTTTCCATCAGGGAATCCTAAATGCTGAATAGGCCCTTCAGACAGGGCCCTGAAGGGGACTTGGCTGGGGCACTGGGGGAGAGGGAGGAAAGGAGGGGTGCCAGGACCTGCCGGGACCATACAGAAGCCCATTGATAGGCAGCCCCTCAACACAGACAACCCAGCCCAGCCTCCATGGCTCCGGGCGGAGAAAGGTGTCCCTTGAGGCGGTGGCCAATATCCCGGCCATCATGAATGACCTCAGTGTCTCTGGCTAGTGGGGGACCTTCATTCTGTACCCTCCAAATCCTTCAGGCCTATCAGCCCCACCACTGGTGTGAATATATTCATCCTGAAACTAATTCGTCAGTACATCCCCATCAGCCGTTCTGATTTCATTAATTGGAAGAATTAGCTCTTTGTGGCCAATGGAAGAATATGGAGCCAAAACATACGGAACACTTTTCCCCAGTGACCCACAGACCCTTGGACGAACTCCTGGGTGCCAGGAAAATGGATCGTTTTGCAGAAAGAATATCATTGGATGTTTATTTAACATCACTCTCCATTCCCTCCCCCTAGCCCCCCAAAGACCTCTGAAGCCTCTCACATCTGGCTGATTTTCTTCCTTCACTTTTTTGTGCAGAGCCAGGGCAGGGAGGAAACTTCATCAGTCTGAAAACATCCAGCAGCAAAGTGTAAATTAAATGTGCAGAGAGGCCAGGGGAAGGGTAGTCATACATCCTGGGGTGTGGGAGTAAGAAGATTGCCCTTACCCCCATTCGGTACGGGCAGAGCTGTTTCTGGACCCTGCATCTGCCACTAGGAGCTGTGTAGCCTTGGGCAAGATGCTTAACCCTTCTGAGCCTCAGTGTCCCTTCTGGTAAAATGGGGAAATAAACACATGCTCATAGGGTTGTTGG